CACACCCAACACACACAACACACACACCCATCACACACACAACACACACAACACACACACAACACACACACAACACACACATCACACACAATACACACATCACACACAATACACACAACATACATCACAGGCACAACACACACATCACACACACAATACACACAACACATATCACACACACAACATACATCAAACACAGCATACGCACACACATACAGACCACACAATTTGGAATGGTGCTGCAGAGCACTACATTAATTCTAATGGTATCATGATTTCTCTTAAGCATGTAGTCTTTACTCATATTAACAAACTATTCTCATCAAATTACTTTTAAAAATTCAGAAGGCAGGGGCGCCTGAGTGGCTCCGTCATTAAGCATCTGCCCTTGGCTCAGGTCATGATCCCAGGGTCCTGGGATCGAGCCCCGCATCGGCTCCCTGCTCTGCGGGAAGCCTGCTTCTCCCTCTCCCGCTCCCCCTGCTTGTGTTCCCTCTCTCACTGTCTCTCTCTCTGTCAAATAAATAAATAAAATCTTTAAAAAAAAATTCAGAAGGCAGTTAGAAGAATAAAATACGGAAAGAATCTCAACGAATAGAATTTTATCAGAAAGGATGAAGCTTTTAAATGTAGAGGTTGGTTGTATTTTGTTATAGCAATCTAATTTTTTAAAGTCAAAGTCATCAGCAACCTATACATATAACCTGAAATTACTTCCAAGTTAATAGTACCTCTTATCTTTATATATAAAAATGGGATTTTTAAAAAAGGAGACTTGTCTAACAACAAAGAAACTAATTATTGGAAAGATGTAACTTGCAGATAATTTTAAAAATCATAGCATAGAATAGGCTAGAAATAACCTTTAGGTCGAGGAATGGGATTAATTTGACAAAATGACATTAAAAATAATGAAGCAGATCTATATTTACTGCCTTCTCCCTCCCAAAAAAATATATACACGCATTACATGAATGAAAGTAGATTACAAAAGAGTATTCATCAAGATTTGATGTGCGTGTGTGTGTGTGTGTGTGTGTGTGTGTGTGTGTGTGTGTGTGTAGCTAGTGGCTATCTCTGGGTAATGGGGCTGTAAACTATTTTTGTTTTCTTCTTCTATCTGTATTTTCTAAATTTTTTATGAAGTCATGAACTATTTCTGGGGCACCTGGGTGGCTTGGTCAATTGAGCATCCGATTCTTGGTTTCAGCTCAGGTCATGATCTCAGTGTCGTGAGATCGAGCCCCAAGTGCGGCCATGCTGGGTGTGGAGGCTGCTTAAGATCCTCTCCCTCTCCTTCTGCCCCTCCCCACTCTTGCTCTCTCTCACTCTGAAAATAAATAAATAACTAAAATTTTTTTAAAAAATAACTATCATGAACTAAGTCTTTGTTTTAAAAGATTTTATTTATATATTTTAGAGAGCAAGAGAGAGAAAGCAGGTGCATGCACAGGAGCAGGAGGAGGGGGAGGGAGAGGGACAAGCAGACTCCACCCTGAGCACAGAGCCCTGTGCAGGGCTCGACCTCACAACCCTGAGAGCACGACCCGAGCAGAAGTCAAGAGTCAGATGCTCAACCGACTGAGCCACCCGGCCACCCTGATCATGAACTATATTTAATAGTCGTTGTGTGTATGTGTTGGCCTTTTAAAAAAGAAACTAAAGATTTTTAAGGGGAATTTCTTTTGACATTTGGGACCTTCTTTAATGTTGACGACCTTCATCAACAAAAGACTTGATGAGACACTGAGACAATATATTTGGTGATTTGGGGCAAATTATTCGCCCTATCCTTGAGTTCTCATTTTGATTTAGCTCTCTGATTAGCATTTTGAAACAATTAATCAAAAAATCTTCATTCACAATATTCCTAAAACTTTTGGTTACAGTGAAAGTCACTGAGCCTCAGCTAACACGAGGGGCTGGAATCGGAGGGAGACTCTGAGAATGTCCCTTAGGACCTGCCCTCAGGATCCGCTGACATTCTCTCAGCTGATTCCTCTACACACAGACATGATTCCATCCCTGCGAGGGTTTAAATTGAAGACTCCCCCAACACCCAGCTAATAAGCCACAGATTCAACAAGCAAGCGGCTGGGCAAGAATCTCAGTCTGCCTCATTTGGACACGTAGCCCCTCCAGCGCATCAGCAGCAATATAAAAATAGCAGGCTGCCCTTGCAGGGTTAAATTAATGAAAATTATCGTAAAGTTCCTTATAATGAAGTCCCTCCCCCAGTGCCGATTAGCAAGCAAAACAACATCTCTCAGAGAAGGAAAAGATTGTTCTTGGAAGCTCTCACAATTAAACGGGAAGAATTAGAACATTTCAACAAGCAGGAAAAGAATGGGAAAGAAGAGAATTCATCCATAAAAAAATTAAGCTGAGTTACAGACCTCCCTGGGTCTGGGGTCTCTTTCCCCCTTCTCATTTCCTGTAACTCATTTCAATCACCGAAAGAAAATTATGGATTTGGGTTTTGTTTGTTTACAAATACAAGTTCTTAATATAAAATAAACATTATCGTCTTTGAAGTTAGATGGACTTTTTACGATGAGCATCCGAACAGTAGGAGTTCTGGCAACTGGGTTCCCCCCGCCAACACCTCAGGATACCTAGAACTTACGTTCTCATGCAGTGGTTCTCAGGCCTCGTGGGGCATCAGAAACACCTGAAGAGCCTGCTAACCCACAGTTTGCTGGGCTGCACCTCAGAGCTTCTGATTCAGGAGATCTGGGGCCAGGCCTGAAAATGTGCATTTACAGAGGTTCCCAGGTGGGGTTACTGCTGCTGCTTTGGGAACCCCACTTTGAGAACCTCCGCTGCATCCCTATGCCCTCCCTTCAATCACGCTGATTAATAACCAGAGCATGGTGAGCACTCACAAGCAGTAGGCATGGCATCACCACCCGCCAAGGCCTTCATTTCCCAGGGCGGTTTAGGTTCGTTCCCACACTTGCGCATGCAAGTTAGAGTCATATTGTAATTACATCATTTAAGTAAACATCGTGGAAATCAATGAAATAGGAGCATGAAAGGATTTTTTTTTTTCCTGTGTGAACTTAATGGAATGCTTTGGAAAGACCCAGTACATGCAAGTCACCTTAAAAACTCATCATCAAATGAGGTGTCAAAAAAGCCGGGCTGGCAGGGAGGTCTCACAAAACCGGACAGATTATGCACCTAACTTGCTTTGTAAGCGTCTTTAAATTTCTGCTCTGTTTTAAAGAAGTCAAAACTGATTTTCTAGACAGACAAATGAGTTATGCTTATGTTAGAAAGACAACAGGTAACTCTAATCATTGGACTCTTCTTTAAAAAAATAGTCTTTGTCCTGCATCAAAAACACTGGCAGTAAGTATATGTTTATATATTTCAAGTTAGAGTAAAAAAGTTCTAGGCCTCTGTGTGTTTACAATTTAGCACTTGAAGTGACTTCTTCAATTTATCAAACCGCCTTCAGTTCCAAACATAGGACGTGAGGTCTTCCTTTGCACCTGGGAATGTTGGTTATTATTTAAGCCTAGACTCTATAAACAAACTTATCAGTGAAGCCGATAACAGATTACATTACGTTACAGAGAATAAATCTTATTTCCTTAAATTGCATCTTTAATAGCTTTAATGCTGTTTTCTAGTTAGGTTTTTGTTTTGTTTTGTTTTTCTTCTGTTGTTGTTGTTGGCTTTAAGTAGGCTTCACACCCAGCACAGGGCTTGAACTCACGATCCTGAGATCAAGACCTGAGCTAAGATCAAGAGTCAGAGGCTTAACGGACTGAGCCACCCAGGAGCACCTCTAGTTTTTCTTCTAATGCATTAATTGTGCTTTTAAATCTTACATCCTCAGTACTCTTCATTTTTGAATACTTCTTTTGTACGATTCTTAATCTTCTCTCTCTGTGACACTTGATTCTCTTATATTTAAGTTCTTCTTATTCTACCTCTTTTCATAGAAGACATTTCTTTTTTAAATTCTTTATCTCATGGAATGCTTATGTTTCCTTTACATCCTTAATTTTAATTCTTTTCATAAACCTCTTCTTTCTTGTCAGTGGGTGCTTTCTCTTGCGGGCTTTGGAGGGTGACAGGGAGGAAGGCTATGCCCCAACAGGCAATTAGAGGCTCTTGCTATGTGAGCTCTCATCCCCTTCAATCCTGGCCTCCTAAAAGGAAGACAGACTCTCAACCTCAGCTCTATCAGACACCTGAAGGCATGCCGGACCAAGCCCTACAGGGCCTCATTCACTGGCCACGGGAGGCAGGCTCCTGGGGGGCTCTACTGCACACCAGGGGATGAGAACCATGGTTCTAACGTAACCTCCCGGTGGGGGGGGGCAGATTAGAAATTCTTCCCAAGTCAGTCACACTCTCCCTGGATAGGTTCCCACTACA